TATACAACTATTTTATACGGCATATTTGCAGGTTAGTCAAAATGGTTGTGTTGTGGCTCCGATGCTAACGTTTATAAAACAAAACCCGAACCTTGTTGCTTTGTTGTGCAATTTACTACATTAGCCAACAAATTGCTCCCAACGGAAGGACTTATACAACTGTTACATATGCTAAATATGTTGGTAACAACTTCACCATAACCTAACTTTCTGCTGTCATATTTTTGTTAAAATGCCATAACCAATGTTTTAAGACAAACAACGCATGCATATCGGTTTCAAAAGGATTTATTAACTGTTCAAACAGAAGATATAATAGATCTGGTACAAATTCTGGGTAAATCATTTGACTCTGTCGGTATTTCATTTCAGACATTTGTCAAATTGTTGTATAACACCTGCAGGCAACACCAAAATATTCTAATAACCTAAAGACAACATGGACGATGTAATGATGTACACAACCGCCGCCATATTGGGCAAACATTTATTCCTCTATTTAATAGTAAATAATTATGTTTCAGTTCGAAATTACAGATGTAAAGTGATAAACATTAGTGCAATTGTGTCTAAATATAGGATTTGTGGAAGATTTAACGCAGATAAGTTCAGTTTTCCATCTTAAAAATCTAGACATACTTTTGATCATTGTCAAAATATGAATCAAATACGAAGCCCGTAGAAATTGGGTAACTAATTTGCACGATAATCACAATGAAATTTGCTGCGCAAGTAATTCAATAGCCCTATATCAAAGTGTAGAAGTTTATCATATACCTGTGTATGAAATTCACAATGGCCGATATGTAAGTAAACAAGATGACTGTAATATGTTAGTTATATATTCTTCACTTCATCTATACAATACATAGGAAATAGTTTGGTTGCAATAAAGTAGAATCACGTAAGAGAATAGTTGTATAGTTGACAAAAACTGAATCTTGCACTGACGCAAATCTCCTATAGGCTTACACTTTTGTTTTATAACTATTACCTGCAGCCCTTATACAACCTCTTAAATGACTGAAATGTCCTATTAGGTGTGCCCATTCCGCTTGTATAGCTGTTCTAAGAGGGTTTTGCTAATGTTATTACAGTATACAATGCTGTTTAAGGAATACTGTATAATCATTCTTGCAACTCTAATAGGAGTGATAATTGTTAGTTGGGTATCAGCTGTGAATCCAAAGCTAATATAAGTGTAACCCGTTACAGCATAATCGAAAACTCGCGAGCACCCATCTCTATTTGTGCAAACTTCCTCGTGTAGTAGGCAACGAAAATCAGTCGACTGGCGACTTCACCGGAGTTCTGCCGTTATCCCGCGATCTTTCCGGTCCAAAGCCCACGTGTCGCGTGACAGGTGTTACAGCTTCTACTTCTCGGATGATTTCGGTCAGAACTTTTCCATGTGATGGATGATCGTATTCAGTTTCTATGATCCCGTATGAATAGGTGAGAAACAATGATTAATTAATAAACTGTTAATTTAACTCGCCAAAAGAAAAATTTTAATACTCATGCATCATATATAGTGTGATAATACACGATTTTTGGGAGTCTTATGTCACATCCTAATCTAAACAAGTAGCTGTGAACTTTCTTCTCCAAAATAATCCCACACACCGTGGAATTGGCAAGTGCTTAGCCACCACTGCAAAATATTAATTATTTTTACATTAGCTGATTGATCACTAGGACGCCAACGAATTTGAAATTGAAGATACACTAAAATTTAAAAAAAGAATGTCTATCATTCCATACATTTAGAAACTGGTTCAATTTTGAACATTGCAGCAAGAATACTCCCACCAGAATCCGAACTTTCATAGTCGAAAAAATGGTGGATGGATATAATAATCTAAGATGCCGCATCCACCAAATATTGTAATAACGACCAAAACATGAACTGGATATAGTAGCCGGTTCAGAAATACTTGACTAATCAACTCGTTGTATATGGATCATTTATTTATAATTTGATATATACAGTAGGCCTGGGGCATATTGTTACCTCGAACAAAATCGTGATGGAGCTTAACACGGAAAAGCATTACAAATTGTTAGACCAGACCACTATTGGCGCATTTAGCACAACAAAAAAAATGGCGTCGAGTAGATTGGCTCTATACTTCGCTCGCAATTTTGGACAATAACTTTCTATATGCGTAATATAATAAATATGATTGTAGAACAAGTATTATGAGATTATTTTTTTCCAATAATCACGGACAACTTTCGTACGCCGTGGTATTATTTGTTTTAGGAAAAGGTACTAAAGTGATATTCTCTATTCCGCAGAACATCTTCATATTCGCAGAAGATTGCCATTGGCGAGGTATCGTTGATCTTTTTTCAGCTGTTCTGGTAAATTCGTCGCGTGAGTTGTCAGAGCAAGCAGCGGCTAGTGCACCTTTTATACAAAATATCTCTACCACACTGCTTTAAGGGCAAATATACGGGGTAATATACGTGCGAGATTTGCCTAATAAGCACGACCCACTCACCTCAATTTCTACTCCTAAACATATGTTCAAAAATGATTAGGATCCTCTGATAGGCAAAAAATGGAGTTTGAGCGGTTTTTATTTTTGTTTTCAACCTTCCTCTACGCGCCACTGTACCGATTTAAAAAGGTGTTTAGTACACACACAGGTCAACGATTAGCGGGAAAACTGACATATCGACAGACAGATTGATGGTGATGACCGACACGATCTGATGTACATGTCATATAACGTCCAAAAAATAATATATTAGTACAAATAATTTAATAAAATATCTAATTTCCAAAAATCTTCGCAATGACATATTTTTCTCGCTCGGGAGTAAAAATGAAAAATTAGAAATAGCTTGAGTATTGTTTTTAAAACATTTCGGTGGTTTTTGAGGGTGGTTGAAAATTGAAGGTTTGAACGTTGTAGGAGGTGAAAGCTACAAACATTGCATTTTTGACTTCCATAAAAGTATGTAGTTATGAGCTTCTACCTCCGATAGTCCTACGTCACACATATTTTCCATATATATTGCATAAGAAAAATGCAAAGAATACTGTCAATAAACTATATTTAGAATTTTAGACTGTAGATCTAGTTTCCGTTTGAGTCTTCTTTAAGGAGACTTGATCTATACTTTTTACTTCCTATGCACAGCTGACGAGGAAGGATTGTAGCTGAGAAATATTTCGAAATGAAATATTATTTTTTCAATTTATATGACATGTATATCACGAAAAAACCATTTATCTCATTTCCGTCGGTCTATCTGTCTATATACCTGTCTGTCTCTCTGTTCGCTAATTCTGTAACCGCCTATAACTTGAGAAGTACCGCTCGGATTGTAATGAATTTTCGCACAAGGTTACTACTGCCAAAGATGGAAACGCTTTGTCGCATTCGAAAACCAGAGCAGTGGTAACAGAGCTAGGGCAAAACATGGAAAAATTAAAATTGCCCAAACTTCGTGTTTCGATGATTCGGAGGCTCCTGATTATTTTCTAAAATCTTTTGAGGGTTGGGAGTAGTATGAGGTAGGGAGTTGTAAGTGTAACGTCAAGGACGTTCTATCATCAAGAACCTTCTGATCTGGTAACAACGGGAAAATAAATGATAAACGTGCGCAGTATAATGTGCTACTTAGTACTTACAGGGTTTGTCCGGAAAGTAACAGGACTGAGTCGATTTAAAAAAAATTATTGAGCCAATCGTTACAATTCTTTAAAACTTTCAAAATAGGCTCCTTCTGCGTCGATGCAGCGCTGCCAGCGCGACTTCCAAGCATTGAAGGCGTCACGGAAGGCATTCTCTGGTAGGGCGGCTGCTGAAGCGTTGGGATGCCGGCCTTGGTCAGGTAGCTGTTCAAAAGAAAGGCGGTGTGAGTCGGGGCGTTGCCGTGGTGCAACTTCCAGTCGGCTGCGATGTCTTGTCGACCCAAATGACCCTTCGTTTGATCTCTTGAGCACTTTCACGTAAAACTT